ACCCCAGGACCTCCTGTCTGTCCCTAGAGCTCTTGGAGTCCCGACTGTCCTTAGAAACCAAAGCAAAATGTACAAGGCTGCTTTCCCGCCGCCAGGAGACTCCACAGAAAATTAAATTAAATTAAACACGCGCCCAGGGACTAAAGAAAATAGATCCCCCCTCTCCCCTGCCGCAGCAAATCAACACTATTGCTCATAGTAAGTGCAGCGAATCTAAAGAGATAGCCACTGACGCGCGTCCTCTTCAACCATAGCGGCTGGGGTCCAAGAGGGGCAAGGAATTACGGGCTTTCCTTTAATCCGGAAGCAGGAAATAAGGAGGACACAAGGAAGTTCTGCATCTTTTTTTTTTTTTTTAACAACAGCAACAATTGCACATCGAGCAAACTCTTCAAAAGATATCACTCAGAACAACAGCCCTAACTTAAAATAAGTTCAGCATTACTTTTTTGATTCCTGAAAAAACCACCATTTTCTTGAAACACAATGATAGAATTAATCTATTGGGCCATTTTAGGGAGGGAGGGAGGAAGGAAGAATGGGAAAGGGGAGGAACAATTGTAGAAACCCAAGAGAGAAAGAGAGGGGTTGGGGCAGGGAGAGGGAGATTGATACTACCCTGGGTTATTTTAGATATGAAGGGAGAAATAATGCCTGTTTGGACACAATCATCAAAAATCAATAGGAAAATTAAAAACCACAGCTTATTCAAAATACCTGAATCAATATCCCCTTGAGTCTTATTTTTATGAAAAATTGAATAAAATGTAGACATTCTTTTATTTTTTTCTCTACTATCTTAAGCAACCAGAAAATAATCAAATTCATACTTTTCTTTCCCTGTAGGTCCCTGCCTAAATTTATCTGTCAAAAATATCATCTGACCTTTGAGCTAATCCTCTAAAATTTAAAAAAAAAAAAGTATTTATTTTAAATAAATTCCTCTACAGGCCTTCCATAACATTCCATTCAATAATTCCACCAAAAGATGGGGAGGGGAGTGAAAATATTGATGGTAGAACTACTAATCTGCTCACACAGGAATCCAGTCTCATCACCTGCTTGTCTTTAATTTTAAATTTTATCATTTCCTCCCCAAGGGAAATCCAGTTGAAAAGTGATTCCAAGACTGGGATAAGAGGAGTGGAAAGAAAGAAAACCCATCCAGGAATTCTTTCCAGTGTCAGGTGATATAGGAGAGTAATATTTGTTTAAGTTTCTAGCATAAAATATTTTAGCTGATCCAACCTCACCAAATCACAGTCATATACCTAAGTGACTTAGACCATCCCAAAAGAGGGGTGTGGAGCAAGAAAGGGGGGAGGGGAGAGAAAGGGAAAGAAAGAAACCAGGATAGGAAAGAAACACTCAAGTTTGGGGAAGAGATGAGGATATAGAAAGTTTGGATTGAGTTGTTCAGCCCTCTGCCAGTATCTGGAAGATGGGCTGATACTTGCTGGCCACTGGGTCAACAGCTAGTTTGGCTCTACCTTGATCAATGCAAGACCGGAAGCTTGTTCTTTGGTTCAAACTGAGACCCAGATTTCAGCTTCATCTGAGTGAGCCTCCAGTCATTGCTAAGTGCTTTATCTCAGACAAAGCAGGAAGGGCGGAAAATGAATTTTGTATTTCATCTCTGTCCTTCCCAAAGGATATTCATTCCCCAAAGGGTAACTGTGCTCACCTGCAGAAAACTAATATAGAAATGCTACTCAGTAACCATTAAAAGAAACTGAAATAGAGCTGGAAGGATGTGGAGCCAAAGGAAGAAGTGGAAATTTGCACATCTATTCAACAACCAAAAAAAAAAAAAAAAAATCAGTCCCCTTTAACCACCCCAAAGAAATCTTCTTCTAAACAAATCTTTCCTTGCCATAACCCACCTCTGAGAGCAAATACAGGTTCTACATGTAATGCAACTGAGATTATAAATGTACCAAGCAGCTTTCCTCTTACCTGACACTACATTTAACTCCTTCAGAACGGTTCTTTCCGAATCCCTCAGCACTGCAACTTTCAATAAAAAAGAAAAACACTTAAACTGTGTTCTGCATGTTATTCCTAGGAAGAAAGTGACAGAAAGAGACTTTTTATTTTTTTAATCACCATAATTTATAGCTATAGTATACCAAAGAATCAGAGCTTACTTATTTGTCTTAAAACCATAATGATTGGAGGCCTCAAACATCTGCAGACAGCAGGATTAAGCCTGCATTGTTCAAAAACATATTTAACTACAAACCTCTAATTGGTTTCTTTTTGCTGGAATTCATAATATTCATGGCACTCTGTATTTTCATGGTTTCTATGTATTCTAACCACTTTAAAATAAATTTCAGTGGAAACTTTCACTTCATGATGTATATACCAAGACTGAACTTAGGATGGGAGAATACAAACAGAAAGAAAGAAGCTAAACTTATTAGAATCTGAACACACTAACTTTTTATTCAATTTGATTCAAAATAATAATATTAATCTAATAGTGAAATAGTTTGATATAACATCAATCAACATTTAAAGTATTTTATGTTTCAAAGTATGGCTCAAGAAACACCCATTGCTTAAATGCACTTAGACATAACAAGACAATATTTTTTATTGGCATCATTGACACCTTTGAACAATAGCCTAGTAAATAGATTAAGGTTTAACCTTCCTTTTCTTTGGTGGCTGTTTAGAAACTTTAAAAGCACAGATAACTCATTTCAACAGGAATCTACTACTGATATTTACCTCTACATAATCTTTAGCTAAGACATGGAATGCCAAAAACAAGCTTTTGTTAGCTTGACCTCCTCCACCTTCTAACAACAAAAGTTATCCCCAAACCCATGTTTTTATTTTAGAAGTATTGATCTTCCAATGTAAGGCTTGGCCTTTTAAATACTAAATGCAATCAATGGCCAACAAGCTGATTTCTTCTGGAGACTTACAAGGAAGCAGAATAGGGAAAATTTTTTCTGAATTGTCTGGTGACTTACTACAAACTTTAAGAGGTAAGTAAATCCTGATGCTATGAGCTAAATCTGGTAAATAATTAATTACATTTCTTAGACTCTATAATCTTTATCTTGGTAAATAGAGAAAACACAGCTTTGCCAAATAGATCTTTCCATCTAATATCTTAAAGGCAATTATTTAAATATTACCACAAAACAGGGTCATATTTTGTTTAAATTAGACATTTAAACTGAAGATAAAATGCATATGTCCATAGTTTAAAAAGGGGGAAAAAATACAAATTAACTGGCCTAGTCTTTTATGAGTTTATTAATACCATTTAAAATATTACAAATAAATCAATTACATTTCATGCATTTAAAATGCAAGTCTAAAATGTTCCAGAGAAAGGCTTTTCATTTCAATGTGAAATATCCAAATTATTTCAACATTACAATGAGCAATTAGTTTGCAGAATCTGCAAACATTTAAATGTAGTGTCAGGAGTGTTTATTAACAGTTAACAATATTACCTTCAGGAAATACACAAAGGCCAAGGTTAGTCGAGTTTCACTTGGACAATTTATTTAATACATGGGTTTTGGCAGACCCAGTTATTATGAAATATAGGAGAACTCTCACTTTAACTATGCCTGAACTGCCAGCAAATGCAAATAAGTACATGCTCCATTAAATTAAATGTCATCCAACATTTATCAAATATTGTCTTAGTTACAGTTTGATACCTATCTAAATTCATATTCGAGCAAAACTAGGCCCGGAAAGTGCGTTTGTGGCTCTGCACCTCCAGAAGTGAGTTCAAAAATCCTGCAGCTCATGAGAACTGCCACAATAACTCTTAATATTTTCTTGTGACAAAAAAAAATCAAGTTTACTTCAATATATTTTCAAATATTTACTGGAAATAATGTACAAGAAAAAATACTATACAAAATCGTCTCTTGGACAACTGCACCTCACACCCTTACAATGGTGGAGTTATATTTAATTGGTAACTAATCTAGAACGATTCTCCAGTTGTACAAACCATTAGGTTCAGATATATTTTACAAAGTTTTTTTTTTCCTATTTCCCTCTTTTGGCATTTAACCTACAGCCTCATCTGAAATAAGTGATACCGTCTTCACTTGTTTATAAGTTTAAATCACACCAAAAAAAGTTTAACCCTAAAATCTTCAAGGAATTGCAAGAATTTACAGGAATGGGTACTATACAAATTGACCGCTGGACTAACAACAACAACAAAAAAAGATGGAGATTATGCTCGGGAGTGGTGAAAACGAGGTAGAAAAGGACAAACACGAAGAGAGTTAATCTGGTCTCACCGGAAAAGGGATATTTTTGCATAAGAAAAAGACACCTACCCTCACCCCCACCCCCACCCCATAAGTTAAGTTAATGTGATCAAAATAACTTTGGGATCAATTATTAGCACAGTTTTGAGAGAAAGACGCGCTCACTGGTAAGGAAAAAAAAAAAAACTAGAAGTGAAACAAAGCGGAAGGTTGATTTCTTCCCCCTTACTTTTATAGTATTTTAAAAAATGAAGAAAGAAGGCTGTTGCAGCGAAAAAAGACTACCCTTTGCTGAAACTTGCATTGGTTCCACCTCAGGGAACAAAGAGAAAGAGGCAGGGCTGACGCTGGAAAAGCTAAAATCTGCAAACTCTTGGGTCTAGGTGCTGCCAGACCCGCACCCCACCGAGCTTCGACCACCTGCGCCGGGCGCACGCTGCAGAAGCAGCAGCCCAGCTGGGCCCTCTTTAGCAGAGACGCCCAGAACTGAGGTTCTGGAACAGAGTCGCTGCCACGGCTGAGATTCCCTGCCCGGCCTCCTGCCTCACCCTCCCCACCCCTCCAACTCAAGCTTGCTCAGCCTAGTTGTTCCCGCCAGCGCGGAAGCTCGCGGTCTGGTCTCCCAGGCACTACATTCGTCCAGATCTAACTTAAGCGTCCGCTGCCCTCTAAAAGTTAGGGCAACCTGGGATGGAGGAGGGAAGCGAAGGGGCACAGGTTCGAACTGCACTTGAAAGCCAGGGCCTGGGATATCGATGCGTATTACTTACATGTCCATATCCCTTCACAAAATTAAGTCAGAGGAAAGAGAGAGACAGGACACACAGAAAGAGAGCGAGCGAAAGAGAGCGCGCAGGGTGCAGTGGAGAGAGGCTGGAGTCGAGGCCAGGACAGACAAGGACCAAGTGGTCCCAGATGGGAGGAAGTGGGGGAGAGGTGCGGGGCGAGCTGTGTCACTCTAGGCCATTGCGGTGCCCGGGCTCAGGGGGCTGCAGCAGCTCCGGGGAGTGGCAGGGCGGACTGCCTGCGGCGCTGTGCTCGCTGTCGGTGTCGCTTCCCTTCTTGCCACCGCTGCCCGATCCCGCAGAGCCGCCGCCGCCGCCGCCGCTGTGCGTCTTCACGTGCTTGCTGAGGTGGTCGCTACGCATGAAGCGCTTGTTGCAGACCGGGCAGGCGAAGCGCTTCTCGCCGGTGTGGGTCCGCAGGTGCCGCTGCAGCTCGTCGGAACGCGTGAAGCGCTTACCGCAGAAGAGCCAGTTGCACACGAAGGGCCGTTCGCCCGTGTGCCAGCGCAGGTGCGCCTTGAGGTGCGACGTCTTACCGTACACCTTCCCGCAGCCAGGGATGTGGCAGCTGTGCAGGCCCTTGCGACGCAGGCTTGCCCCGGCTGGCCCCAGCCGCTCTGCCTCCTGGCAGTTGGGGCAGTCGCAAGTGGCTCGGCCAGAGTAGCGGCGGGCGGAGGAACGCGGGGAGCCCCCCAGCGGCGCCGACGGCCCAGCGCTGAGCATGGAGCTCCCGGCGCCTGCCAGCGGAGATGGTGCCGAGTCCGGGTAGGAGCCCGGCAGAACTGGCTTGAAGCCGTCCATGAGGTGCTGCCCCGCGGGGCTGAGCAGGTGCGAGGAGGCGCCGCTGCTGAAGGCCGAGTGACTCAGGCCTGAGTAATCCGAGTTGTAGCCTCCGAGCGGCGAATGCAGTGAGGTCTGGAGCCCCCCGGCTGCGGGGTGCAGCGAGCCCGGCAGCGCCGCCGCGCCGTTCGGGTTCTGCACGTCGATCCAGCCTGCGCCCACGTCCCACCAGCTGGAGGCGCCGGCGGAGCCCACGTCGCCCGCGGCCCCCAGGCCTGGGTGCGAGGGCTTAAACCACGACTCGTATGGGTGCGCCATGCCCACGCGCGGGTAGATACCCTGCAGTCCGTCCACCGAGGTGTGCACCTTGGAGATGAACACCGGTTGGTGGGAGCCGTCCTGCGAGTGTGCGGAGGAGCCTCCGCCGCCACCCCCGCCGCCGCCGCCGCTGCCCCCTGAGACGCCGGGGGCCTGGAACACAGAATAGTCGTTGGCAAAGGGCGAGCTGGAGGCGGCGGCCGCGGCAGCAGCAGCGGCGGCGGCGGCGCTGCTGGAGGTGAGGGAGAAGGCGCTGGAGCCCGGCGAGCCGCCGCAGCTGAATGAGTCGGACACCAGGGCCGCGGCCGCCGCCGCCGCCGCCGCCGCCGCCGCGGCAGCCGAAGACGTGCCGCCGTTCCTGGAGGCCCCAGACACTCCGAAGCTTGAGATACTGGAACCCACTACGTTGCAGCTGCCGGAAGAAGAGGATGAGGATCTCTTCCAAGGGTGGAAGCCTTTGCCAAAGGAAGAAGTACTGTCCGAGAGGGAGGAGGGAGACGGGCTGGGGCTGCCGATCTTATTACAGGTAGCTGCAAGCATGGCCAGAGGAGTGGATCCCAACCTCGGTTCTTCCTGCAAGGAGAGGAGAAGGATGGGGGAGGGGTGGTGGGCAAAGGGTCGGTGGGGGAGGGAGGGAAGAAATATGCATTAGTCCTCTGGTGGCTTCCAAAACGCCCCACTGCACCCCATCTCTCGCTGCAGTGCGCAGCCACCAACTCACCTGGCACCCCCAACAGCCCCGGCGCCCGGCTGCTTCCTACTCTACAGGAGGGGATAAGTTTGGCTGCCGGCGTCTGATTCGGGAGCAAGGCGCCACGCTACAGAAGAGTTTGACAAGTATTCTCACCTAAAACAACACTCTTGTGCACACAGGCCCCAGACACTTTGAAACAAACAAGCAAAAAGTCCAAATTGGGGACGAAGGAAGTTTCCTTTGCCGAGAAGCCTGGGGAAAAAACCATTGGATTGCTTTTAAGAGCGTTTCCCCTGCAATCCAGAGAGAGTTTTGAAAATACTTTCCGGTCCCCCCAAACCCATGCTGGGTTGCTTCTCCCAGACCCAAAGAGGTCAAACTGTAAGGGCTCACAAGCTCTTCTTTTTTTCTTTTATTTTTAAAAGTATATATTAGTAAGTATAATTAGTAAAATAAGACGAGTTCAACATACCTGCAAGACAAGGCGGGCTGAGGAATTTTTTAAGGGAAAGGGGAGACTGCAGTTTGCCCAAGAAGAAAAACTTGCTCTCTTTACCCCCGAAATCGTCGCATGTAAAATGGGATGCGCGCAGGACTCCTGGGCCCGGAGCGGCCAGGCGCTGCGAGGTGGCTTGTCTAAAATGCCCTTCGAACCTTTTCCTGTGCTGAAAAAAGTGACTCGCCCCCCCTCTTCCCCTCTTTCTTTTCTCCAAACTCACTTGTATTTAAGGGGGGGGGGAGCTCTCAATAGAGAGACTGATAGCCCGTGGCCTGGCCGGGGCGACTTTAACCCCCTCCAATCGGCAATAAAAGGAAACTAATTAAACCAGCAAGAGAAAATCCTGAGACTCACCCCTAGAAGTGAAGTTGCCATCACACAAAAGTGCCCTCCTCCTCTCAGAGGATCTTTTTTATATTGATAAATCAGAGGCAGTGTTTTTTTTAGAGGTGTGCAATACAATGATCAGTTCCGCCCATTCCACCACAATTGTAGCTCCCTCTCCGGCTTTGAAGTGCCGCGGAGGCGCGGCCAGCCAATCTGCGGCCTCGCCGGGCCGCGCCGCGCGCGCGCCGTGAGGTCATCGGCGCCGCCGCCGGCCACGGCGGGCGGGGGGGGGGGGGTGCGATGAGCAGGAGGGGGCGGGGGTGACTGCGCGTGTTATAAAGTGTGTGTGTGTGTGTGTGTGTGTAACACTGTAACGGCGAGTGTGACCAAGCCGAGGAGAGGACAGTGCAAAAATGGGGCGGGGGACTGTGACATTGTGATAAGATGGGGAAAACAATAGGTAGGGCAGAAAAAAAAAGGTGTTGTATGTGACAGTGTTACTGCGTGTGCGACAAAGGGGGTGCCTAGAGGGACTGAGCTGGAGAGTGGTGAGGGAAGAGTGCGAGTGAACTGTCTTGTAACTGAGTCCGACTGACCTAGAGAGTGAAAAGGGACTGAGTGGCAAAGTGGAGGGAGGGGGAGAGGTGTGTGAGTGTGTTTGGTGTGGGTGGGGAAGGAGGGGTGCGAATGTGTGCGTTTGTGAGAGGAGGGAGGGGGTGTATGTGCTCGAGTGTGTGTGTGTGTGTGTGTGTGTGTGTGCGCGCGCGCACTAAAGCTGGGGGTGGGGAATAGGAACTAGACAATAAAGTGTACGTGAGTAAGAGAGATTGGGAGAGTGAAACTGCGAAGTTGAGTGAGACTGAGTAAATAATAGTCTCAAACGCTACCACTGTTACCAACTTCCTCTGGCTCCTTAAACATTTTGGTTTTTTTCTTCGTCGTCTTCTTCTTCTTCTTCTCCTTCGTTTTCCCTCCTTACTTTTTTGGACTCCGTCACTATATATATGTGTATTTTTTTTTAAAAATCTTAATACTTACCTTTCCCTTCCAGGCTCTCCAGCTAAACTTAAAAAGTTTGGAAGGCTGAGGGGTATTTTTAGGGGTGAGGTGGGGCTTGTGCGCGCCTGAGCCCACGAGTTGTTCCTTTGATGTGGTGGCTTCCCCCCGCCTCCCCTCCCTGAGGTGGGATTCTGCTTTGGAAGTGCACGACTCACTCTAGGGGAGGAGGTGTGTTTGTCCCGTGGGGTTGAGTAAATTTCAATACAAAAGGATTCGATAGAGGAGGGAGTAAGAAAGGGGATTGGAGGGGGGGGGGTGAGGAGCCTTTAACAGAATTTTTAAATTTTCACATGAAATCCCCTGCCTCCTCCTGAGGGGTGGTGGTGGAGATTTTTGACTGAAATTTGTGGGTGTAATTTATGTAACCATAGAGACAAGCTTCTGACAAATCTTTGACCACATTTATGGAGGCATCTGTGTTAGATAATGTTTGAGCCAGAGATCTAGGAGTGTGTTTATGTCATATGTACAGTTGGTTCAAATTTGGTAGTATTTAGTCTCTTATTTGGTATTTGTGTTATTATTTGCCTTCAAAAATGCCATTACAATTTTCCTGCCACCACAAGGGAATTTCTTAAACCATAGACAACCCAATACCAGTTAGCAAAAAGTCTGGAGCCTTTGCAGCCCTATTGAATATTCATGTTTAGAAAAACCACGGTAATTCATAGTTTTAAGCAGCTGGGAATGCTCTCAGACATCTTATTTTAAGGTGAAATTGATTAGAATGTGACTAGCTGGGAGAGCTGTTCTGTTTTGACTGGAGGAACGTTGTTATTTTATTGTTGTTGTGGAACCTTCCTCAAGTGGATCACAACTTCTGGAGATGTCAGAAAATCCTCCTGGGGTTTACTGAACTCCAGAGTCAGTTTCTGTTAAAAAAAAAAAAAAAAATTGCTCTGAGCAGAGTTGAGACTGATGTTTGCAGTGTGAGAGTTTGTATTTCTGACCCCTTTTTAACATGTGGGGATATTGACTGTACATCATATCTATTGATTAAGGGGATAAGGTACACTCTCATACTTTGAAGTAAGTGTGAACTAAATTAATGAACTGCTTTCTTTCTCTGAAGGCTGACGCTTACCATAAATGTCGTGTTTCTCCCTGCAAGCCGCTCTGAATGATTTTAGCGTGTTGAGAAGGCGTGACAGGCCAGCCCAGAAGGAGGAAGGGGTGGGGGAAGGAGGGAACTGCATTTAACAAATAAAAGAGAATTAACTTCATTGCTTTGGTCTCCTTCTATAATGATATTCATTTTAAGGACCTAATATACAGTTGTTTAAATTTGAGGTTTAATTCTAATCAATACCATTACCCTCAAAGGTGGAGGGGGATAAAGCTTGAAGGAAGACTCCCTTCTATGAATAGTTATTTTATCTTTTTATCCTCCTATCTTCTGGAAGGAAGAGAGGGAGGACTATTAAAAAGTTAAATGCTAATTCTGAGAGTAAACAGAGGCGTTAACCACTGTTTCCTCAAAAATGCCAGGAATTAGAAAAACTCAGCATCCTGTGACTACAATTTTTAGCTACCTAATTGTAAGATTATTTATTCGTATAAATTAACTTTAGAATCATGTCATTCTTTCAGTGATAATGAATCATATAACATTGGTGTGGATTTAGTTTCTCTTGGCTTACTGCTTGTGGGTATTTTCAAAGGCTTGTATGTGCAGCTTTCTTCATTAGAAATAAGTTCCATTTACTCCCATTATAAAAGTGAGGTGTTTATTTTATTTCATAGTAACATTAGCTAAAGTTTTTTTCCCCTAATACTACTCCCTTTCTGCCCCCCCCCAAAAGAAGTGGTTAGTGTTTGTGTCGTAAGGTATAAGGCATCAGAGTTCAAAAGGAAAAACAAAGAGAATGATATAATTGACCAAAAATCAAAACCATCCTCACTTCGCATCTAGTTTAAATGAAACTGGTCTTAATGAAAGCGCTTTCTCCACTTTATAGCGGTGACCCTACCCTGCTTGAATCTATCCCACATGAGAGAACAACTGTAGTCTGTGGCAGATTTAACTAACCTGGCTAAGCAGTTCAGAGTAGAGTTTATTTTACCTTTTATGATATTGATCATTACTCCTGAATATTATACCATAATAATGTTTAGATATTTGGAGAAAGAAGGGGAATAAAGATAGGAAGGAAGTACAGGCTTTCTAACATCAATTAAAAGTTTCCCCTATCACATATGAAGTTTAATGTGCTGGCAGAGAGAGGGGTAGATGGATATTCTGCTGTTTCTTGCAAACCTGTGGGATCCACTATCAATAAAGCTAAAATCTATTAGCATTCTGTATGCATCTGCAGCATAAATTTCATTTGAATTTCAAATTTAATAAACCAGGAGGTTTTTAATCATCCCTGGTTTTATTTGTTTGATATTAACATGCTTATTGACCGGGTCTGGTGACCAGTTTGATCATTACAGGACAGCAAAAAGTTAATTAAAACGACCACAGCCCCTTAATCATATCATCTGTCTCATCCATGTCGCTCTCTTTATTACCGGTGATGATGGATAGTCTCCCAGATTAATTTCTCTGTTTCTTCGATTTGGACAACAGCTTTTGGGACCTAATTTACATCCTGGGAACAACTTGCTCAAGTATATCTAACACCTTGCAGCTACAATATACATCAACATCTCCTTAGATGGAGCTGAGAAAGGGAGCTTTTTTGCAGGCGGGTTTGAAGACTAATCAATGCTGGGATCTGGAGCTCTTATGCTTACACAACCAAAGAAACAGAAGGTCCTAAAAGCAAATTAAAGGCCTGGATCCCTGCTTTTCCTTTTGGGGGCGGAGGGGTGGGCGAGTAAAATATGCCTCTGCTGCTTGGTCAGTAGATTAAAATGTGTAGATACAGCGACAAGTAAATAAAGCCATTTGTAACCATTAAATACAATTAGGCATTTATAGTGGAAGACATCAAAGTTATTCAGGCTTTCAAGTGTCCGACAACGCATCTACACACCAAATACAGTTTTGAACGTAAGCATGATCGGGTATATATAAAGTGGTTTAAAAAAAAAAAAAAACACCTAATGGCCGGGAAATACACATGAACTAAGGTGCGTACCTCTGCTGGGTACTTATAATCCCTCTCTTAGTTTCTGGGTTTCTGGAGCGTGGATGGGGACACGCAAGAAGACCTGCGTGTGACCGCCGCCCGCCGAGTGAACGCAATACAAGCGGTGCGTCCCTGGCGGGAGCCTCTCCCAAGATGGGAAGACTGTCCCCAACCCCTGACCACCGCGCGAGGGATATGTCGGCTACTAAATAAGGCATGAAGAGAGATAGCTAGAGAGCCGAGCGCCGCCGCCGGCTGCAGGGAAGAGCGGGCTGAGACAGGTTGAGGGGTTTCCTCGTTGGGAGCTCTCTGGTCAAAGTTACTTTCCTATTGCGGGGAGGAGGGAAACCCTGGCCAGCCCCGGACCTGAGGATTCCTGAGGGGTGCCCCTCTATGATCCATCCCTGCTTTCGGGTGGCTTTACTAAGTTGCCTAACATTTCCTGGGAAGGGAGGTAATAAAAGCCCCTCGCTGGTGGCAGATTGTTGAGCCGTAGGTGGGAAGGGATCAGTAGGCTAGAGCTCAGAAAGGGCTGTATTTTCCTGATTGGAAAATGGGAACTTCCACACTGAACAATGGCCCCTATTAGTGAGGTTATTGGGTTTCAAACTGTCCAGCCACATTTACAGCCGAGTCCTTACTTTCCTGGTACTGCTTAATTGGATGCATTTGTTGACCACAGGGAAGCAATAGTGACTCTTGATCTACTTGCCTAGGAGCTCCTTGTGAGTGTACAGAACTACCTTGGTGACTCTTAAGAAATGGGAGCGACTATTGCTTTTCTTTTTTTCTTAATTGACTCGATTTTTTTTCTTCCATTTCTCCTTAATATTTACTTTTTTTTTTCTTCTCTGCAACTTAAAGACGTCCAAAAGTTAGGGTCAGTTTAATTAAAAGAGATTTACCTATCTA